GTCAAATGAATCTCCTCAACTGGACGCCTAACTTTGATGTTATGGAAGAATCACCCATAGCTCCAATTTGGCTTTCATTTCTTAATTTGAGATTGCATTTCCTCAACTCACAAATTCTTTGTGGCCTTGCTTCAATCTTTGGAAGAACATTACAAACTTATCAAGCTATTGCTTCTATAACTCGCCCATCCATAACTAGGTTTCTTGTGGAACTTGATGTTTCGAAGAAGCACCCGGGTGAGTTGTGGTTAGGTTCTGAGCTTAATGGGTATTTTCAAAAACTTGAGTTTAAGAATTTACCAATTTTTTGTTTGTATTGTAGAATGCATGGACCAGGTTTTAAAGAACGTTTTAGGATGCATCCCCATCTTCAAAAAGAAAAATCTATTTCCAAACAATCTCAACCTAAGGATGATAATGAAATTTTGCAATCTTTATAGATGGAAGGAATTAAAGCTATGTCTGATGATGAGCCATTGAATGTGGTTGATATTTTTGGAAATCCTTAAATTGACCCGGCCCCTTTATCGAATATGGCCATTTTTGAGAATCTTCTAATCGGTCAGCCTAAACTTACTACTACATTGCCTCCGTCAAATAGTGGTGTTGATATTTTGGTTAATATTGGGTTAAATGATTCTTATTCTCTAAATAACACTACTTTTGCTTTACATATTATAAATTGTGATTTGAATACTAATAAATCTATTAATGTTGATGAAGTTAGCTGCTCTATTATCAATCAGGAAGATCTTGCTGTTAATGGCCAAGCTAATATTAACTATAATGTGGGCCCTAGTGAAAAGGTTTTAGTGGAAATAGAAAATGCTGATATTTCCTTATCTAATATGGTGATTGATTGTGAAGAAGTTTTGGAGGAAGGTGAGCTTCCTCATTTGGGTAAGGGCAAGGATATTGACTGTAAGTCCCCTTCTTCCTCCCATTTTGATTCTGATTCTTTTACTGATAATGAGGATTTACAATTTTCTGCGAAATGTTTTGCGAAAGATGACAGTGATTTAAGCTTTGTGAAAGCTCAAGGTAAACGTGGTAGAAAAGTAAAAAACCTTGTTTTCTAATTTATTAGAAATACTAGTTGACAGTCTAATCATTAAGTTGTATTTTATATTTAAATCCATTATTTGGAATGTTAGGGGTATTGTGTTTCATCTCATTTGTGGGTTAAAAATCTTCTCCGTATTCATGATATTTCTATTTTATTTTTACTTGAACCACTTGTTAATGTCTCTAATTTATCTACTACTACTAGATTTCTTGGTTTTAATAATGCTACATCTTATTGTGCTAATAAGATTTAGGTTTTTTGGAAATATCAAGTTAAAATTAATGTTCTTGGTAATTTCATTCAAGTTTTGCATTGTAATATTAAAGTTTCTAAGGTTAAGTGTTGTGCTTCTTTCATTTACGGCTTCCTCTCGTGGTAATAGACAAATTCTTTGGGAGCAATTAACTGAATTTCATAACATGTGTCGTAGCACATGGTTGGTTGGAGGTGATATTAATACCATATCTAATCCCTCTGAGCAGTCTTGGGGTTGTACTCCCAATTTTCATTATATGGATGATTTTAATAATATGATTAGGGATTGTAATCTCATTGACATTGGTTTTTTTGGTAACCAGTTCACTTGGAATAGAGGTTGGTTATTTCGCACCGGCCCACCAGGGGCCGGTTCTCGCCACTTACAGGCGGAGAAATCGCCCGCCTGGGCGTTCGGCCGAAGGAGAGGGAGGAGGCGGGTGGGCCCAAGGGGCCCACCAAATGTAAGTGGGAGTTTGTTTTGTTTGCCCTAGGGGTAATTAGGGTATTTTGGGGGTTTCATGTGAGGGTTAAAGGGGAGTTAGGTTTGGTTGGAGAGGGATCTTGTTTTGGTGGCTGTTTTAGCTTTCTTCTTCTCTAGGGCTTGGGAGAAAGCTTCTCTTCTCGAATTAAGAGCATTGTATCCGTGGAAACTTGTAAGTCTTTTGATATTCAAGTTATTGAAGTGTTTATGAGTGTTTTCATCCAAGAAATTTTGCATTTTTCCACCGTTTTTGGGCTGTTTTTCCTGGATTTTGAAAATTACAAACTAAGCTCCATCACAACCTTGGCAGTTGCATCTTTCCCTGGTTTTCAGCAAAATGCTTCTATTGGATTTTTTTTTTAAGAGAATTGAATGCTTGGCCGTTTCCGTAGAGATCAAGGGCAAGCCACTCGATCACATTATTGGTGGTTTCTTTTATTATTTTTATCCATCCTTGATTAGGGCATAAATTTATCAGTTTTCCTAACCATTTCCCAAAGTTCGAATGTAGTCCATCTCTTCATCATCTTGAACTATTCTACCTGCAAAACATGAACTATTTTAATAGCAAAATATATGATAGAATAGAAGTTAATCAACTAAATAACTCATATGATCACAAAATGAAATGCCTTTAAGATGAAGGAATGAAGGAAAGGATTGGAAATACACCAAGGCTTCTACTTTGGTCTTCTTTGATCCCACCTATAAGTTAGATGTCTAATTCTCACTTTTGGGTCCTCTTCCTAGTTTTTTTGGTTCTGTATGGCTGTTAAAATCAACCATGCCTATACTTCTTTGAATAGCTACTTTGGTCTTCTCTGCCATTAACTTAATTGCATCACAGTTGTCGTCAGATCTTTAATTGCATCACGGATTCCTCATTGGATATTGTTTTTTTTTTTCAAATTTCTTTTCTCAGTTCAACCTTGAGGGTAAGGTTGAAGAAATGGGTAATGTTAGGGATATAGTAGTTATATAGATGTTTTGGGTTATGTTAGTGGGTAGTAGGTAGTTAATTATGCCCTAGTGAGTCTCTGTTTTATATTATTATTCCTCTTTAGGGAGAATTGGGCAGGAAGAATGAATGAAATGAGCTATGGCTCCTCTTTTCCCCCAATGAATTTCTAGAGTTTTGGACATCCTCAAATAATCAAATTGCCCTTTTTCTTTTTTCCCGATCTACTTTTGGAGTTTTAGGCAAGCTCGAAGTTGTCTAATTATCTCAATTTTCATTTTGTTATTAGGTCTATAGCACTCATTGACACCTCTATGTTGGAGTATGTTTTATATTTTACTCTTCAAGTAATTTGTATTGTTACTTTGTACACTTTTCTTGGGCAAACACTTTTCAATTGTCAATAAACTGCCGAAGATACGGCATTCCACAAGTTTTTTTATGTGGGGAGATAATTGTTGGATCGCTGTAAGAATCGGACTAGTAAAAAGGAAATCCCAATCCAGAGAACAAAGATAAACACCAAGCTACAAAAGCTTCAAAGATAATGATATTTCATCAATCATCTCTTCTTACTACAATAATTTGTCTATTTATAAGCTACTAAGAATATTCTAAAAATCATAAGTAACAAACTATGATAAACTATTCCTAAGGAGTATTCTACTCAGATGTTCCTACATCATTTTTGTTATTTAAAGACATGATGAACCCTATTTTAAGCATGAACTCAAATGCATTATCAACCCATTAATTGAGCTCGAACTTACACTAGACCAAGTTGATCTCCAACTTGGAGTTAAACACATCTTTTTACATCAATCAAATTTGATTCATGTTGATGTAGAACAGATATGGAGGGAGGGGGTCATTTGAAATTTGAATTTCAAACTAAATGAAAAAGGGAGGGAAGAGGTACTTAATTAATTTCTTAAATAGAGTTTCATTTTTTTGGGAAGGAATTAATTAAAATAGGAGAGAAATTGGGGGCCTTAATGGAGAAGCATTAATCAAGTAGAGAGATGATATAGAAGAGAGGGGGTGGCGGGTAGAGAGAGAAGAGAGTTTAGGGAAATAGAATTAAAGTGAGCCTTGATTGGAAACCGAAATTGAAGAAGATTAATTGAAATCAAATCCAATAAAAAATTTAATTTGACCTAATTTAAACAACTTTCCTAATTTAATTAATTTAAATCAAATCCAAATTTAGGAAACAAATTCAAATTCAAATTAATTTGAATCTTGAATTCAAATTCGTTACTAAATTAAGATGTATACAATAGGGAGGCTTTGAATGCAAGATGAAATTATGGGAGGCTTTCTAATTAAGGATTATCAAAGAGGAAAGTATTTGAAACTCAAAAGGAGAATTGATTTCAAATAAAGACACTTTCCAAATTGATATGAGCTATTTTAGGAAGGTAATTATGGGAGGTTTGAATTTTGAAATTCAAAATTCATGGAGGGAATTTGGAGGGGGGAGGAAGATGGTCGGTTAGGCTTAGGAGGGGGATGGAAAATTTCGGTGGGAAAGAAGAGAGGGTTGTGGGAAGAAGCCGACGAGTTTGGGTGGAGGGGATGAAGCCGGCGAGATTGGAGAGAGGATGGAGATGACGATTAGAAAAAAAAAATTAAAAAAAATTGCGAGTCTCGGAGTTTTCCAAAGACTGACGGGTATTGCGTTACCCTTCACCAAGGGACTTCAACCACGAGCCCAGACACATCCTGCGGCTGGTGAGTATTTCATTACCCTTACATAGGGACTTCCACTCTCCTAAGAACTCCCATCGCTCTCAAGAACAAAGTGTATGAATAATTTTTTTATTAATCCATCATCGTCTAATACAAGAGCAAGGGCCTTTATATATAGGCTTTATAAAAAAATAAAAGACAACTTTGCCCTTTGGGCTTACATAGGAGAAGACCCTTAAGTAAGGGTAAAAATGGAAAGTGCATAATTTAAATAAAAATTACAATTAATAAACTAAGATAAAATGGAGGGATCTCGGCCGTCGATCTTCGTCTCTTCCTTTGATTAACGTCCACCGTCGGATGTCCGCATCACATGTTCAACTCAAGTTCAACTTAACTCGATTACATTCCTGTCAGTAACAACCCCATTAACAGCAGCCAATATTTGCCATTATGTGTGCGCACACAATAGCTTCTCTGAGGCCATTTTTTCTACCTTCTTATAAACACAATGTTCTGACAACCTCTTTCCACTGCAAATGCAGAAAAACTACCAGAAGTCACAAGATCTCTAAGGCCCCATGGTCCTAAGGAAGATTCATCTCTGTCCGAATTTCAAGAGGAGCTGATCCAACTCGCCTCTCAACTCAATGGAGACCATGTTCTTAGCGCATACCCACACATCGGCAAGGATATGACCGTTGGTCAAGCGAACCTCTATGCCGAGGATGCAGTTGCGAGGTTCTTGGAAGCTGGAAAGGCTGCACTGAGGGCCGGGGCGAATGAATCTGCCATTGTCACTATGAGGCCTGCTCTCACTAGCAGGTCTGCTGCTGGAGACTCCAACCCTGCTGTTCAGACTATTTGAACATGAATGCCACTCCCTGCAGAAACTGTGAAATCCACTTTGAATTCTTGCGGGGAAGTCATGTTGATTGTTGCTGTTGGGTAATATTACTCCCCTGAATATACTAACTATTATGATATATGATAGCGCTTTACTTTGGATATTTGTATAGGAAAACTGCCTTCAATCTCTATTAAGCCATTTTATATCAGTTTGTAATGATTTGGAAGCACTTTATGTTCCATCTGTCCTTGGATTAGACAGGAAGGCCATATCATTTGTATGTGTAATATAGCCAAGGCTTATTTTCTGTCATATATTGCAATTTCTCTTATATGAGCCGTTGGGCTGTGGGTTTAGCTAAAAGCATCAGGTTTGCTGGGATGGGGATCTGGTCGAACTCAGCTAGTCAACTATCAAGATAAATTTGACTCAGATAAAACTTGAATTGAGCTAAAGCCTGGATCTGATAAGAAAATATGTGTAACAGCCCAAAATTGGGTTGATATCAAATTAAGGTTTTGTTTGGGACGGCTTTCTTTCTGCTTCTTAAACAGCTTTTTAATAAAAAATTAAATTTTTTGTATTATAAAGTTGTTTTAAGAAGCAGAAAAAAGTCGTCTCAAACGAAGCCTAAATAATTTTTTGCTCATTATGAGTAGGTGGATTGGATGCATGCTTTAGGCTTTAGGCTCAACTTTCTCCATGTTATTTTTTTGCGCCACTGCTTCTCTTGCTTAGTTGAGAGCTCAATGTAACTATGTGGCTCATATCAACTAGTAATTTGAATATTTATTGAGTATGTCTTATAATTAAAAATTACTCTATCTGAGAACTTTAATTTTGATTTGTTATGCGAATAAAATTATGTGGGTATATTAATAGGAGTGATTTGTCTCGTTTTGAATTTTTAAATTTGCTCAATGAGAAAACAAAGATGTAAAAGTCATGGCAATTCTTCTCAGGCTTTATTTGGGATAATTTTCTTATTATTTTTACTTTAGATGAGATTGGGATAGTTGACATATGAACTAGTATTATGGCGACCACTAATTATACTTTGTTAATCCTGAACAAGTTCTTATCGAAATGATTAAGATGATCTAGTTTTCTCGAGTTTGGGTTAGTTTATTAAACTTGGGCTAGGTTTATCTTGAATATATATTGAGTTATCATTCAATTTAATAGGCCCATCCCAACAAGGTGTAACTTAGTTTAACCTTAATTGACTAATTTTAGGCAAGTTGATTAGCCATTCATCAAGTTTGTATTAGGGTTTAATTACTAAATTTAACTTAACAAAGGCTTTTGACTAACATGTAGGGATTAAAATCCCTCTAATATCTTAATATTTATGTGTGTTCATGATGATGATTTTGGAGGAAAATTAAATAGTTTAGAAAGTACTAGCTATAAACTTTTTTCCTTATTAGAAGACCTTATATTCTTAGTTGAAGGCATATACATGCACAACATCCCATGATTAATCACCTCACTTAATTATTGGAGAGAGAATTTATTTGATTTGAGTGTAGGAGATTGATATGATGTGGTTAATTAATATTGGTAACATTATTGCTTATAGTATTTAATAATGGATTCCATTATTATATAAGAGGCTTTATTGGGGATTTCAATTTGTAGGTGTCATAGTGCTTCTTGATTTTATCATATTCTTAAGCATTTAACCATTGATGTTGTACCATGGTATAATTTAGAGTAGAATTTATATTTAGTCAATTTGAAAGTTTAAACTTCGATAATATTACCTAAATTTATGAATAATATTACTTAAATTTATAGGTATCGAGGTCTGAGATGTATAATTTATCACATTTTATAGTCCATGGAAAATATCTTCTTATCATACAAACCTAAGAATTAAGAAATTACATTAATTCAACCCCAATTTATAGGTTTTTTCATGACTTTTTTAGTGTTCTATTAGTCTCTAATGCCTATTAAATAATCAAAGGTGCCTTGGAATGCCTGACTTACATTACTTAATGAACTATAATTGATCAAAGTAGCATGAGTCCTTGGTATAATAACTAGTTTGATTGGATCCATGGAAGATTTCCTTGTATTTTTAAGACAATTATTAGGCAATAAATTGTGCCAACACTATTTCTAGTAAATAAATGATTGAATTTGGGAGAATATATTTTACTTTTAAAGTTATTGGATTGTGCACCTCAAAATAAACTTCAAAAGTAAGTAACTCATTTTTTTCTTAATTTAAAAAAAAAATGATGTTTCTTATAATTTATTTTTAAAATCAATTCCCTTTTTAACTTTTTTTCCTTGAGATTTTCGGCCTTCTTTTAAATTTTTTAAAAAAGTTTAAGTAATCTTTAAGATATTTTATTTAGAATTTTATAATAAAAGAAAGCTAAGGTTTTATTTCAAACTTTTAACTTTGATATGATACATGCTTGACACCACTTATTTGGTGACCTTGGACAAATTTAGGTTATCTAATATCTCCAAGATAAAACATTTACTTGTAAAGACCCTCACATGTATCATAAATAAGATGGTTCATAAGTCCAATTGGGATATTTCTTCTCTTATGTATCTTATAAAGTCAAATCATATATTGATGTTGCTATTTAGGTGCTCTTGCATAATAATAATATGAGTGCATGGGTTGTCGGCCATAATTTGATTTCTTTTGTCAGTATATATATGGTACAATTATATCACATAACGCACACTTAAAATAGAGGGCTACTTGATTATTGAAAATATAGTTTCACATTATTTTTTGAACATCTATAGTTTATTATGTCTAAATGGAGGAGCAAAGGAGCCTTATTAAACCTTGCTTATAAGTTGAGCTTTTGATGCTAGTGATGAGTTCATATAAGTCCTCATTAGCTAAATTGCTTATGTTCATGTTATTCAATTTTTTTTTTCTATTTTACATGCTCTAAGTATATTATTCCTTTTTTTGTTTATCACACACACACACACTGTGTGTGTAGGTCAAGCATGCAAGGTTCATACTGTTGGTCATATCTCTATGAGAAAGCAAGAAATATACCCGTACTAGTTAGAGACTACAAAATAATAAAGAAAGTGACTAATATGAAATGCACAACCTATTATTTAGACAAAAAAACATGTTTAGAGGCTACATTACACATTCTTCGTAGTGTAGTACCTTTCCTAAGGGATACCAAATATTTCAATTGAAGTCCATTTTCTTAATCCCTCATGTTGTCTTTTATAAAGAATGGTTAAGGATTTGGATTGTGACTTTAATGATGCATGAATGATGGCCCACAATGATTTTTTAGCCCTTTATTGCACACTAAATTTTTTTTAGTCCTAGAGCCTTAACATGTAATAAATGAATATGCATTGTTATAAATATGACCTAATTGATGATGCACGTATACTTGCATTATGATGCAACACTAGTGAATGAATTGTTATGGAAAATATTTTCAAGAGACAATAAGCTTACTACCCCTTTTAGTTATCCTTATTGAACTTGGGCTAACTGGACCATTACAACCATGGGATCTTCCCCTCACAATGTGCGCTCAAGTATAGGCGTGCAATAAGCAGATCTAATATATTTTGATTGAGTCAAATTAAAATAGATGAATATAAGGCTTGGCCTGTCACACCCCAATTTGACCTACCCCTTAACAATCAATCTGAAGTATAACAGAGAAGGAAAATCTAAACCTGTTCCTTTATACCAACACCCATTCCGAGCTACCACTTTTAGAATGGAGTGAGTAAAAGAAATCTATTTAGACTCTCCTAACTTGCCAACCTATCTAATTCCATAATTAATAATTGGAAGCAAATAATGTCCCTTAATGAACATCAATTATAATTGAAGTAAATAAAAAGCTATATTAAAACTTTTAAAATTCCTTCACATACCCAAAAATCTGTACATCTAGCATTCAGATCTCGTTTTAGATCTCTTTGCACACCCAAAACATATTTACACCAAAAGAAAGGTCACCTCTTTTTTATTGTCCCAAGGGCTCCTTCCCCTTTCATGCAGTACAACCACTGCTAATGAGCTTGACTCAATGAAATACACAAGCAATTTATAAGAAATGATAATAAATAAATAAGAAATGCTTAACAATGCTAACATAGTTAAAACACATATTGAAATGTCATATTGAGTCTAAAAGTGTTTAGCTTAACAATATTATTCATCTTACCAAAACTGTTTAACGTTCTTAAACAAGTCATATGATGGTTATAAGCATTTGCACCTTTTCAGCGTTCCAATTCAATGTTAGGTCTAACTTCCCAACTTTTTAGAATTGAAGTTGTTCTCTCATTCAGGGTTGAGTCATATTTCTCAACTTCTAGAATTAAGAGTGTAGGCTTACCGCATCAAGTCTTTCACCTTTACTTGTGCGGGCCTATCCCCCATATATAAATTATTTCACTTTTCATATAGTTATCTTTTTTAGCTCTAATGACATATGCTTTTGATGACATAGTTGCGCTTTAGCTGCTCTTTAGTTACCCTTTATGTGCCCTTTAACTGCCATTTAGTTGCCCTTTAGGCGCTATTTAGTTGCCTTTTAGGTGCCCTTTAGCTGCTCTTTAGTTTCCCTTTAGCTGCCCTTTAGGTGCCTTTTGCTGCCCTTTAGTTGCCCTTTAGGTGCCCTTTTTCTCATTCATTTATTTATGAATATTTACCCTTTTAGACTTACGAAATTATTAACATTGATAAAGATTACTCTATACATAAACAATTTCATACATATTCGACCATGTTCATACAGAGTAACTAAAATAAATGTGGTTATAAACATAATCAAGATGAAGTGCAATAATAAAATATTTACTAATTCTTATAATCTTGGTTGGGTATCTCACCTCGCTAGGAATTTGTTATCCTAGACTTTGTCTTTCTTTCCTCTTGTAAACAATCTCAATTAAGTTTCTCTTCATTCAATAGTAATCCTTTTCTTTCTTTTTCTATGTCCAGCAATCTACCACAATGAACTCAACTACCACCAACTGATTTTAGCAAACATTATTAAATTTCATCATTTTTAACCATAGATTTTAGCAAAAGTTCATTTTAGTAACTATAGATTGTTTTACCTAGACTTTATCCTCCCAACTGAGCCTTCACGAATCATCTAGCACCCGCTTACAACAGCTTAGCAAACTCCAGATAAACTTATATGTGGTAAAAAAAAAAATTGGGAATGAAAAGTGAACTAAAACCTATCTTATATCTCAGTGCTCTTTCCACTCAGTCCACCAAACTCACCCTTAGCCGTCAGATTGCAGCATGTCAAAAATCAATCCCTTGCATGCTCAGATTAGTGGAATAGCTACAGTAGAATATATATATATTAAATAAATGGCATGCTACATTATTATCCACTATCAAGTTAATTGTTAACTAACTAAATTGATTAATCTATTAACTTAATTTACATCTATATAAACTTATAATAAAATAAGTTAATATTCATAGGAAGTTAATGCTTACATTATTTTGATCATTTTGAGAGCATTACATGGCTCTTGCCTAAGATATCTCCTTGATCAATTCAAATTTGAGCTTTTTTTTAACTATAACAACTATTTAAACTATATGTAAAATTTAGGAACAAAGCAGAGCGAAATAAAGTCATCATAAGCAGTGTAGACCTCAAAATGTGATAACTTAGAGTCTATTAGAGATAACTTATTATTTCTTGTCGGCAAGTTCTATGAAGTCTTTAAAAAATTATAGAATTATTATATTTTCTTATGACATCTAAATTTAATCAAAGTGTTTGATACCTCTTTCATAGGTGCTCAAATTAGATCAATGTCGGGAGGAATTATTCTGTGCGGACATCAGATTATTCGGAGGTGAATTAGAGCGTGCCATGTCAATGGGTACATAACGAATACATAATCGTACTCATCAAAGAAGTGATGTGACGTGTTCTATTTTTTTGGGAAACGTGCTCTAATTCCCCTTAGGGAACACATATTCAATAAAATCTTGGGGGTTTTACACACATACCACTTTATTTTATGCTATTTACATATCTAACACCTAAAATATTAATATTACATGACTACCACCCATAGAACAAATTTAGGTGCATGGAATGAAATATTAAAGTTTATAGGATTGTATGAATGATATAAATGAATTATAGGAGTGATATATTTGATATTTAATTTATATATGGGTGATAGTCATGTAATATTAATATTTTGGATGTTAGATATGTAAAGAGCATAAAATAAAATGATATGTATATAAATTTCCCTAAAATTTTTCCATTTGGAATGATGAAACTTTATTCTTTGTCATTCAAGTAATTCGATCCAAACAAGAAACGTGTTGCCCACGTCGTGGAAATCTGGCTGGCCGCGACTCGATCCATCGCGTAAAAGTACGCAAACTACCGCGGCTGGAGGATATCATGTTCAAACGATCCAAACGAGAAGTGAACGGGTACCTCGAAGGCTGCAGAATAATTGGTGAAGAGTGAATCATCGATCTGTCTGGAATGTCAAAGATGAATGATGGAGCAAGCAGTAGCAGAAGAGGAGGTGGTGGGGAGACTGTTGTGATGGATCAAGGGCAGCTAAGAAGCTCATGCGGGTACTGCAAATCCACCTCCCGCACCAGCATCTCTCATGGTCAGTCGGATTTCCCAAATCTCTCCTTTCTTTCTCGTTTTACCTTCTTCTTATGTTTAATCTCTCGATTTGATGAGGATGCGAGCGGGCCGATATGCCCAATTTGTTGTTGGTAGGTTACGAACGATTTTTATGTCGGATTATGAAGAAGAGACAATGGTTTTGGATCGGTGCTAGGGGAAATTATTTACCTGCAAAGTCATGCATGATTTCCTTCTTTACCTGCAAAGGATCTTAACAACCAATAAGCTACCAACAGCTTTATGAATATTTGTCTGTTGTCTGCTGTGTCATGCATGATTTCTATGCTTCTTTACTCTGTAAGCTAAATGATATTTTAGATGCATATTTTGAGGATGCAACTTGATAGCATATTAGCTGCTTGTTTAATTGATGTGCTGCATATGACTGAACAGGATTGTTGGCTCAAAGCATTAAAGCAGAGGACTATCAAGGTATGTGTCTTCGCAACTCTAGAATATTTTCTTTTCACTATGACGATAAAGTATATCCTATTTCAATTTTCTAAATTGTAACTGTCAAAGAAACCACCAAATCATGGCAGACTACCCTCTTTTTTGTTAATGATGTGCATCTAAGTGTGGTAAGAACATTGAGAAATGATGCATTTTAATGAACTGCTTTCAATTCTTCTTATCTTTTGCAAATGGACATGTAATATAGTTATCGTGCATAAAAAAATGATTTAATGGACTATTCTAGATCATTTCAACCTTTCAGCTGCATCATTATCTAAAATAATTGTCAAAGAGTTTTCTAAGAATAATTTGTTGATAGTATTTTTCAGGAATCAGTTTATTTAGATTTTTCTTTGGGAGCGTTTGGATTGCTTTTGTCTGCCTTTGATGGGCTATAAAAGTCGGATCTAATCGATGCCTACTTGATCAGTTAACCCTTCCCAAACCTTATATCCTGCTCATTTAACTATCATCCTCTATAGCCTGGTTTAACATTGCTTTTGCTAAAATATGTCAAGCCTCATCCATTAGCTTAGCCTTCTAAATAGAAAAATATGATTTGTAGTTCACTATAGTTTTATAAAATAATTTAATCCATTGTATTAGAAGATGTTATAGTTAATTGCATGTTCGTTATGGATATGCTTACATTTATTTATTTAAAATTTATAAACTTTTAGATTCGTTTAGCCTTGCATCTACATACCAAATGTAAGAAATTTGGTCAGTCGAGCCTATCTAAGACTTTGGGCTCATGAACCGTACAAATGCTCAAGAACATGTTTGTTGTCTAGGTGGCCTGTGGTCTATCGTCGATATTATAGGTATGATTTTCGTTGTAGTTGTTGTTGTCAAGTTTAAATATTTGGAAATGTTGCATTATAGTCTTATTGGAAAATAGGCAATACTCTTATAATTTTGTTTTTTTGCTTTCTTTGTTGTAATGTTAGCTTGTAGTAAAAGGTGTTGGTTTGCATCATGGTTTAAAATTGCGCAATATGATGCTCGCCTTTGCGCAATTCCAGTAAAAAACGCCTCGATGCTTACGCCTCGAGTTTTTTTTATGAGGCTTGCGCCTCAACTTGGTTGAGGCCCGTCTTAAGGCCCGCCTCGCCTCACTGGCATGAGGCTTATGCCTCACGCTATATATATTAAAACTTACATAAATATTGAAGTAAATGCCTGATATTGGACTCTATAGGAGAGGAGGAAGGGGAGAGAGCAGTTCACCATAATGATGATTCAAATGAAGAACCCCTTAGTGATGACAGTGTTGATGACTTATGAGTTCTTATGTGATATGTCATTGTTATTTATTTTTGGAAATTAGAATTATATGTTAATGAAATGAATATTGGGATTTGGGAAAGATAGAATTTTGAGTTGAACTATATTTCATGTTGTCTTATTATTGATATATTTTGATTTCACTTCAGATCTTATGCTTTTATATATTTTATATTATTCACTCATTAGTGTATAAAAACTTTATCATTTTATATTTACGCAATCTTTTGATATTGAGGCTTACGCCTCGCTTCACGAATGAAAAACGCCTCAATACTCGAATACGCCATTTTAAACATTGGTTTGCATTGAAATAATATGAATAAGACTAGAAGATAAGGTTAATGTAATCTAAATAATGAGCAAATTGATTGCAAAAGGTGATTTGAAAGTTTTGGAATTTTGAATCTTTTAAGATAGGTTGTTAAGGGAGATAAATTAGAATTTTTATGTCAAATCAAACATCAGAAGTTGATTAATTTTATTAAGAGAATTGTCATAGAAATTTTAGGAGAATGTAGAAATAGATTGTAAATTGACAAGGAGATTTTATGGAGTTAGGAATATAAAATGTTGCTAAAGAAAATGAATGTGTTTTTTAAGCATGGAAAAAAATTAAATGATATTGAGGAGTTTAATAATTATAAGAAAGTTGGATTGTAAAGAGTATAATGAACAAAAAGAAAAGCTAAAACTTTTGATGATTTATATAGTAGGCCTAGTAATAAGGAGGGATGAAATGATATAAAATAGCTAAGATAAGAGAAAAGAGATCTAGAAATTTGATCAAGTCAGGTGTATTAAAAGGTGTTCGACATAAGAAAGGGGTTAATAATGTTTATCTTATATTCAAGTCATTAAGGATATGTATGCAGAAGTTGTTACTTGTTTTCAAACACAAGATGGTTTGACCAAGTATTTTCCTATTTCAGTTGGATTACATCAAGGATCAACCTTAAGCCCTTTCCTTTTTGCTTTAGTCATGGGTGTTCTCACTAGACATTTGCAAGAGTATGTACCATGGTGTATGTTTTTTGCTGATGATATTCTTCTTGTTGATAAGACTAGAGAGGGAGTTGAAGGTAAACTTGAATTTTGGAGGTCAACCTTAGAGTCTAAAGGCTTTCGTTTGAGTAGACATAAAACTGAATATATGGAGTATAATTTTAGTAATAATAGATTTAATGGGGGGATTGCGACTTTGGGCGATCAAGTTATTAATAAGAGTACACGTTTTAGAGATATTGGGTCTATTGTTCAGAGTGATGGTGAAATAGATGGGGATATTATTAGTAGAATTCAAGTTGGATGGTTGAATTGGAGGAATGCATCGGGCTTGTTGTGTGATAGAAAAGTCCCTCTCAAACTTAAGGGAAAATTCTATAAGATGGTAGTGAGACCTGCAATGCTTTATGGTGTAGAATGTTTGCCATTAAAAGACATGCATAATATTAAGTTAAGTGTTGCAAAGATGAGGATGCTCATGTGGATGAGCGGCTTTACTCTTAGAGATAGGATATGAAATGAGCTTACACGTGAAAAGGTTGGAGTAGCTCCAGTGGAAGACAAGATTAGAGAGAGTTTCCTTAGATGGTTTGGTCACATAAAATGACAGCCTTTTGATGTCCCAGTTAGGAAAGCAGACGCATTAGATTTGACTTATGTTAAGAAAGGGAGAGGTGGACCTAAAAAGACTTTTTTTTAGAAAAAATTAGAAATGACCTTTCTTTATTAGATTTAAATGAGACTTTGACTCTTAATAGGACACAATGGAGAAAAAGGATTCATGTAGCCGACCCCACATAGTGGGATAAAGGCTTGTTGTTGTAGTAGATGTATTAAATGTGAAGATAATATGATCTTGGTTCAAGATGAAAATACCATGAAATGATGAAAATGGTAATTTGAGAAATTATTAAATGAAAATTTTTTAGAACGAAATTAATTTGGAAGAACATAATGAATTATATGATGAGGTATGATATAATTTGATCCAAAAAAGTGAGGTGGGAGTTAACTCTAAAGAAGACATAAATGTGATGTTGTAGGTCTAAATGAGATATCTATTATGATTTAGAGAGTTATGAAGAATATTGAAGTGTTTTATTTAATAAATATTTTCAATGGAATTTAGAATACTAAGATGGCACCCAATGATTGAATAAGTATTTTTATACCAATATTTTTAACCAATGTTCAATACTATTCTAACGTTGGAGGAATCAAACTTATGATTTATATAATGAAGTTGTGGCTGATTGTTGTGGAACATATGCATAGAAAATTTATGCCATTTTTAGAGAAGCTTGTTTCATATCATGAAGGCCTATTATGGAAGAAATGTTTTTATTAAGATAATTAATGGACAAGTATTGAGAGGAAAGATAGGATCTGGATATATTTTTTATTGGTTTTGAGAAGACATATAATCAAACTTAATCAAACTTTATGAGAATTGATTTGGTGCACATTGATGAATAAATTTATGTCAAAGATATGCTTAGGTTATTTATATTAGGTAGGATAAAGCATTGGTTAGAATTAAAAGTAGTTCTAGAGTGTCGAAAGAGTTTTCAATCACAATATATTGCATTATGAACCTACATTAAGTTTATATATATTTTTTATTTAGTTATAGAATCTACAAAGAACTTTAAGTAAGGTGCTTTAGACAAAACTTGTTGCAGATGATAATTCAAATTGATGAGGCATCCACTGAAATAAGTGAAGATTTAGAATGATAGAGAAAATACATAAAATATATACAATTTAGAATTAAAAGAACAAAGACTGAGTATATGATATGCAATTTTAGTAGGTGTAATATTAACCGTTATCATTTAGTACTATTAGATGTTAAGGTAATACCTAGATGTGATAGGTTTAAGTATTTTAGATCCATTATAAAAAAGATTGGAGTTATAGTGCTAACCTTCATATGTGTCTCATGATTAATTCAAGCGAACACAATGAGTGTGGTGGCCAATTGATGCAATGCCACATGAAACAAATTTAAAATGCACTGATTGAAGTTGCTCAAGTGTTTTCCATTTGTGAAATAGACAACATTTACATGTCTGAAAAGTTGAATTTACCACAAAAAAAGATATCTCGTATGCACTTTGATCAAACGTGATGAAGAACAATGAACAACGGACACGATGTCTATTAACTAAGCTCTCTATTAGTTAATGCCAACTTAAATTTGAGTGATAAATTATAGGGTATACTGAATAGAGCATAAAGTTCCCTGTTAGCTAAGGTTTATTTAAATTTTTATTCTTAGACTAATATCTTCCTAGATCTATAAAGTTCCCTCGAATAAAGCAACACATAGCGAAACGAAACTCTTGCGTTCATAATTTCTTCTTCTTCGCTTCCCCACTTAACCCCACGAACTCCATAGCCTGATCTTCTCTGCCTTAGCCAACTCCAGTTTCCAGCTCCCGCAGCTTTCGATCCTGCAACTCGAACCATCAACCCGCCAACAACTGAACTTGATTTGCCTCACTCAAGCCGAATGCCCTTCTCTTCCATGTACCTATACTCGTCGACCCTCACAGCCGCATCATCTACTTAGCCGACCCCAACCTCCACTCCACTCTATTGTACGGAAGCCCTTCCTCCTCCCTCTTCTCTGCCAAACTCCATAGCCCTACCACAAGCAACTGACAACACCTCCAATACCT